TAATATGTTTGGAAAATATGTAACACATATTATATAAAAAACTCCATTCGATATCAAGGGCAATACCACCGACAAACCGACATGACACTTAATTCGTAAACGACCGATTTGAATGTGTAGTGATCCGAACTTTCAATACCATAGGTTTTTTTGATCTAGATAAAATAATTTATCTAGAATAGATCAGACACGAAACAATTCATAACTTTTGCATGCTGGTTCATGGCTTAGCTAAATATTTCCAGCGAACACGGTGCCAGATGTCAGTAGTGTGCTTTGGTCAGACATTTTAATGTTTTTGCTATGGTCATTCATGTCGGTTTGTCGGTGGCAATAACCCAAGCTACAATATGGAAACATTGTTTTGCAATTCGCAGGAAGTTCAGAGAGTTAATTTGATCATTATATAGTTACCCGCTTTATCAAAGATACCCCGTTTTACGGTAGCTAGAAATTTAATTCATTGTAAACTTTTAGGTTTGTATGGCTTCTAGATAGTGACCTACAAAACTTGCAAACTGGAGGGGCAAATTTCTTGCCAAGATGACGGATTCGAGGCTTTGCTTTAATGTGTAGTACCTAGTGCATATTCATTAAGTATCCGGAATTCTAGAACGTTTTCCACGACGTTCAGAGTAAAATTTACAACCGCTCCAGTAAAGCTCTAAGCTCAAGGATGGTTTGGTCAATATGTGACTGAAAATGTCATCAGGATTCCCGAATTGGTCATCAGAATGACCGAAACGGTTATCGGATTGTAGCAACTCGGGGGCAACTTGACATCTCCAGTATATTACCATTGTACCCCGAAAATTTGGTGCTGGTGGTTCTGTCAAACTCACAAATTTCAGAAGTTTTATCTGAATAGGACGAATTCGGAAATGATGTAATGTAAATAAAATTTATTTATTAACAAATAAAAGTTTAAAATGCATCTTATTGTCGCACGCCCGCCAAACAGGACACGCGACGTCCGACGACAAAACTAGTATTAACGACATAGAAACTCCAGTGATCCAAGCGACTAATATCGGTTTGATTCTCAGTAGTATGTACAATACATAATCAGTTTATGAAACTTTTTTTTATTTGGTGTATCGTATGTATTTGAGCAGTATAGAACCAGCAGCATATGATTTGTTATACAAAAATGAATGATTGTCATCGTCAAATTGTTTCGCTTCCTATGTCTCACGGCACAAATTTCTACTCACAACACTCTTCCCAACAAACAATTTGAGTTGATCAACAGCTGAATAAGCTATTTTTTAGCTGAAGATGCTTACGTTTGCCTGAATAAGGTCTTAATCAACATTCAATGTTTGTTGAGTTTTTGACGTTCTCCTATTCACCAAGAGTGATTAAATCTATCGCTAAGTTTCTATTAAAAAGCCGTATCAGGTATGTAACTTCTTTGTGGATAGAATTCTTAATGCTTCCAAAGTTGTTAACATGTTCCTCAAGCCAGCGTTTTAAATAAAAGTCTATGCACATTACCTGAACTCCGAGAAAGGCTCTGATAAGTTTACAGATCTGTAGAAAATATCATACGGCATTCGGAAAGTTCTTAGCACTTCAGGGCAAGAACTTGAGGGAAGTTCCAAAAAATTTAGGAAATTTCAACGAACTTCAAGAAAATTTCAACGCATTTCATGAAAATTCCAACGGGTTTCAAGGCAATTCCAATTCATTTCAAGGAAATTCCAACGAAGTTTATGGAAATTTTGATAAATTTCAAAGAAATTCCAACGAAGTTTATGGAAATTCCGATAAATTTCAAAGAAATTCTTACGAATTTCAAGAAAAATCCTACAAATTTCAAGGAATGCCAAAAATTTCAAAAAAATGCCAACGAATTTCAAGAAAATTCCAATGAATTTCAAGGTAATTGCAATGAATTCAATGAAATTCTAACGTATTCAACCCAATTCACACAATTTCAAGGAATTGGCAACAATTGCAAGGACATTTCAATAATTTCATGAAAATTCATACGGATTTCAACAAAACTTCATTGAATTTCAAGGAAATTCCTCAAAGTTTATAGAAAATAACTAAGAATTTCAACAAAATTCAATCGAATTTTATGGAAGTTCCATCAATTCTCAAAGAAATTTCATCGAACCTCAAGGAAATTCTTAAGAATTTTAAGGAAATTTCATGGATTTTCAAGCAATTTCCAACGAATTATAGGAAAATTCAAACAATTTCAAAGAAAATTCTTTCGAAATTCAAGGAAATTCCAATGAATTTCAAGGAGATTCCTATGCATTTCAAGGACATTCTTACGAATTTCTAGGAAATTCGTTTCAATTTCAAGGAAATTTCAGCAGTTTAATGGAAATTCCAACAAATTTCAAAGAACAATAACTTTATGGACATTTTTCGAATTTAAAGAAAATTCCAACTAATTCAACGAAATTCCCGAGGGGGACGACTCTATCTACGATGCAAAAAGGATTGTGTTTTGCTGTGGCTAGCTGCGCGCACGCTGAGTAGATATAAAGAAGATTGATGATGATTCTGAAGATTGATGAACGATGCAAGTAGATGCGACAAATGAAAGAAGATTTTTCGAAGATTGATTCGCTAGTGTGAGATTTTTTGAGCATCTAAACTTGAGATTTAGATGTGCCGCCCCCCTCGGAAATTCCAACGAAATTCCAACGAATTTAATGAAATTCCAACAATTTAAAGGAATGAAATTTCATACTTTCACTTTCAAGAAAACTCTACCGAATTTCAAATGTATTCCACAAAATTTAATACAAATTCCTACACTGAACGAATTTGACATATTCCTTTTATGTGGAAGTCTAATAAATTTGCGCTATAAGATAATCCATTGAAAATGATATGTTTGAAAATGTGTCAGGTAAATTCTATATGAATATCTGATACATTTACAATGCTGATAATTTGGTAACTTTTATATGATCGTCATATGATAAATGAAAATCGATCAAATTATAATAATTAACTGAAATGGATTTGAAACCCATAAGCATAAGCTATACTTTTCACCACAATATAATATATGTGTCATAAATCAATCGAAGTAAAGTTTATGTGAAAATAACATGAAATTTACTTCTTCTTTTGACACATATATTTAATCGAATTCTAAAAATAAATTCGAAAAAATAAACATCAGGCAGTGGGAGCTTTCGCAGTTGTGCCTTTTTTTATTGTAGCTGTTTTGGGATTCGATCAAGAACTGTTGAGGTGTGATGCTTTCGGTGTCTGTGCTCGATTCCACTGGGCCACGGCTGACTTCAAGATTGAGCTCGTTCAAATAGCATAAAGTAAGAACAGCTCTCCCGACATGGAATGTAGTGCAACGTTATGCTCGTTTTGCTAGAGTGAAGACAAATAGCACTGACAAATTTATGTTCCGTTTCGGTGGTGTGGTTTGTTCAAATCTTTCTCAATGCACCTGTGTGCAATAAATCAACGACTAAATTATATGATTTGATAGAACTGGCTCATGAAGTTCGAGTACTACTTAGGGCTGGAATCTGAATTAGCCGTGTAGAAGGCTTACAATTAGAATCATAGCAAAGTAAATATTACAGTAGAATCATTTTTTTTTCAATCTCAATACATTCTTTTCCGGAACCAATTATCTTATGAAACAATAACAAACAAAGATTATTCAATACAGTATCATTGTTGTTAGTAGTATTTAGTTCAACTAATCATTTTAATAAGTGTACGTTAACATCGTTGAAAATTGTTTCAATAATTTATAAAGAACAATCATGTAAGATGTATTTTATTGGGAGCGATATTAATCCCAGAAAAACATGCCAAAACAAATGCTTGCTGTTGGATTTCTTAAAAGGCATTTCTATATGACTATTTAATGATTGGGATAGATCTGTTTACAATCTCTAAACCTCAAAAATCAAAGGAAGCTATTCCAATGAGATATACATGTTTTCCTATACTGCAAAGTTAAATGACAGTCCAATAGTTTCTACATGTCTATTTACACGCGACATATCAACAAACGTCAAAAATCAGTAAAAGCAACTCCAATAAAATATACATGATTATCTTATAAGATATATATTCTAGTGAGCAATATTCATCATGAAAACAGGTATATTTTACTGAATTTTCTCATAGTGCAAACTTATATGATTTTCCATTAGTTTCTAGATGTCTGTTCCCACCCATGACATATCAACAGTTTTTCACCATGAAATATATCAGACAATATTCATAAAATTCTTACCTTCGCTAACCACGTTCGAAGCAAAGTATTATCAAGTACTAAGTATGTGAAATTACGATAGAAATCATTCCATATCGCAGTCATAGTTTTTAAGTGATAATCCAATGGAATCTATCAATCATCACATAGAATGAATAAATCTGCTGACATTGCTATGTTATAAGATGGATCCAATAAACGGTACATGTTGATTTGTTTCAGTGTACGAATTTCAGGAAAGTCGATCAAATTTTAAGGAATTTCCATTGAATTTCAAAGAAATTTTAACGATCTTCAAGGAAATTCCAAATAAATTCCTAAGAATTTCACGAAAGTCCGACGAATTTTAAGGAAATTTCTATGAATCCTTCGAATTCTAAACCCAAATGAATTCAATAAAATTCTAACATTTATAGAAAATTCTTAAAAATTTCCAGAAATTCAAAGTTCCATCAAGTTTCAATGACATTCCGACGAACTCCAAGGAAATTCATAAGAATTTTAAAGAAATGTCATAGAATTACAAGCAATTTCCAACGAATTACAAGAAATTCCATTACATTGTATGGAAATTCCATCGATTTTTAAGGAGATTCCAACGAATTTAAAGGACATTTCTATGAATTTCTAGGAAACTCCAACGAATTTCAAGGAAATTTTAACGAAAATCATGAAAATTCCAACAAATTTCATGGAAATTCCTACGAATTTCAAGGACATTCCTCCGAATTACAAGGAAATTCCTATGAATTTCAAAAAAGTCCTACGAATTTCAAGTAAATTCTTACGAATTTCAAGTTAATTCCTACGAATTTCAAGGAAATTCCTATGAAATTCGAAGAATTTCCAACGCATTTCATGAAAATTTCACGAATTGTAAGGAAATTTCACGAATTGTAAGGAAATTCCACCAAACTTCAAGAAATTCCAACAATTTCAAGGAAATTCCTACAATTTTAAGAAAATTCCAACAATTTCAGCAAAAGTTTTTGTCATGTTCCTCAAGCCAGCGTTTTAAATAAAAGTCTATGAACAATTTTATCAGGATATTGCGATGGATGCTTACTGCATCCTCCTCCAAAATAAGTCCTGATTGTTACAAAAAAAAAACATGTTGATGAATGTTGCAGATGTTCATTATGATTCTATTTTCAAGCCGTTCGTAGTATGTATTTCCCAACGTTGAAATTTTGTGGTGATTAATTAGTATTTTCAGTTCAGTTTCAGAAATTTTGCATATCAGAAGAACACATACGGCCTAGGGCAAGCCTTCATCATCGCACAACTATGATCAAAAACATAATCTGAAGGCTGATATATAAGAAAATGAACCTCCATCAATCGGTTTCAATTCATTTTGATTTATTTCATTTCACCACGAAAATCATAAATTCGCTCTTTTCATATAACATACTTGCCTGTTATTTGACATCCACACATGGGGAAACAAAAAGTTGATTTCCCATAGAAAAATACCATTACGGTGGTGAAGGACAATGCCTTTGTTTACGTTGTGTGGCAACATCTACTATTTGCAAGTGGTTACGTGAAATTAAGGTTATCTGTCACCTTGCCAGGGACTTGTATTGTAGTCACGGTAAATTTAGAGCTGGTTACTCTCTGATTTAGCATAACAAGCTGAACTATGCATTAGGTCCTATAGGTAACATTGACAGATCCTCTTCGTCGTCTTTTTCTTTGCATCCTCATGGTAATTTTAAGACATTCCTAGTTTCTAGTAAGGCTAATTGAACTGAACTGAGGGTCATTGACCATCTCTGATGTTCTCAAAGCTCACCTGAACCACAGACAAACAGACGTAACTCTTCATAATCATCTAGATCATCGTTTGCGCCTTTAACGATTTGTTTGAATGTTATTGTTTCCGTGAACTACTCGTCGCAGCGCTGGCATCGGATTACTTTGACGTTTCTATACATTCGGTTTTTCTTGCATGCAACATTGTTTGCGAATCAGCGAGCAAGCTTGTTTTCCGCGAGAAGCTCGCGAGATGTCGTTACTGGAGTCCTATGTTTAGCGGTACTATGTTTAGTAGATAATTTTATTCAAAGAGTTACGTCTGTTTGTCTGTGCCTGAACCTTCCCCTGAAGATTTTCTCTACAAATATCTGGACTTCTGTAAAGTTCTCAAAATATGTATGAATATTTCTAAATTTCTCAGCAAATGTCTGGACGTTCCCGAAATTCCCAGAACTCTCAAAGCTTCTTGAAGTTTTCGTGGAATTCGTGGAGCTGTTCAGAATTAATCGAAACTAACCCTTACAGATCTCTGAGCTTGTCCGAAGATCTCTGGACCTAACTTGTCTGCGGTTCTTGGAATTTCTATAAAGTATTCACAGTTTTTCTCAAGTTACGTGGACTTTGCTGAAGTTTTCATGCTTTCTCTGAATTTCTCTTCTTCGGTTGGGACGAGGAAAAGTGCGGAAAACAGAATGCCTAGGAAATCTGTTGCCCAAAATGAAATTTATTGCTTTGCTTTTGAGGATCACTTCTGATTTTGACAATTTTGGGTAGCATAATCAAGCACTGGTGAATATCAACAAACGCGTATTCACTGATGTATAATGAACTCATTTGTTCAGCTCACCCGTACGTGACAACGAAGATTTTCAAAACGAACGCAATTCATCTACACTGGGTTGAAGCGCTACTCGTTTCGTGCGATGGTAAATGATAAAAACAGACACTGATTCAGTATGACTGAACTCATCATCAGTACGATCGAAACGAATTAGCAGTACCATGGATCAGGATGACCAACATTAATCAAGATAATCGAAACGGTAATTTGTTTGACCTAAATGATCATCAGTATCAACAGGATGGTCGAAACGGTCATCAAAATGTTATTACATAAGATTGCCGCAGATTACAAACGGTTATTACATAAGATTACCGCAGTTTATCACAATGATCGATACGATCAGTGTCACTGGAACGGTCATCAGTATGACCTAAACGATCATTAGGGAGACCGTACCGGACATCAAGTTTGGTTAAGTTCATCAAAATGGTCGAAACGGACATCAGTATGATCGAATCAGTCATTAGGATTTCCGAAACGTCGGTGTGACCAGTGTGACCGAAACGCTTACTAGGATGATTGTAACCTGGACGACCGTCAAGAAGATCGAATCGGTAATCAGTATGACAGAAATGGTCGCCAGTGTAACCGAAACGATCAGGATGATCATCAAATTAATCTGCAGATTGGTTGCTTCTATTCATCTTGTAAGAATTTCTCCGCACATTTTTAACTCTTTTTCGCGCATAATACTTGAATGTTTAAACATAATCCCAAGAAATTGAATCACTTCCGTATCCCTTCAACCATTTCTCAGCTAAATATTCGATTTCGACAGAACTCCAAACCGTTGATATCCTGGAAGTCTGGGCAATAAATTCAATTTGTTTCTTGAAGAACAGCCAAAAATATAACCTTAATCGTGATATCTCATGCCGCAAATCCTCCCTCGAGAGCCTTGATTCGATATATTCGCTAAAATCCATTCCCTAACTTAAACAGGTAACTTTAATTCTTGTCCTCGACTAAAATTCTCACACCTGAGCTTGCTCTCTTTCTCTCTCATCCGCTCAAAGATTGATCGTGTCCAGATCTTGGCAGGGTGCCCGCGGACTGTGGTCGCTATTCGAGCTGCCGGGCAGGTTGGTGATCTGATTTCCGTTGATCGTAATGTTACCGCTTGCGTTGACATTGTTGGCGTTGTTGGTATTGTTGTTGTTATTGTTGTTGGTATTACCGTTACCATTGTTGCCACCGATGTTGACACTGTTGATACTGGTCTTACCGGGCGTCCCGGTGTCAGCGGCGATCGTATTGGCCTGCTGTTGCTTCTTGCTGCCTAGCCCCAGAGGGAAGGCAAAGTCCTGCGGTAGCTTGCGCATGATCTTACCGGACGTGATGAGCCGACCGAATCCTTCCTGTAATTTTTGAGAAGTTGTTTGGTTATGAAAATGAATGAAAATGTTCTGGCGAAGCAGCTAACGGACCTGATGGGCAAACGCGTACCCGGATCGAAGTGATCTTCTACCTCGACGAGCTGACGGCGTTCGAAGGACGTCGTTGCTTTGCCTGGATCGGAGCTGTGCTAGCCGTTGCTTGGCTCGAATCTGACCGAATACAAAAATTCATTAGATTGTGCTGAAATCAGGAAACTCATATTCTTACCTTGTCCGATAGGCCAGGGAACACATCGACAAAGTAGAACCTGGACGCCAGGACCGGTACCATCAGTACGATCACGGTTAGTACCGTGGTGAACCAGAAGGTAGCCTCTTTCATGGCTTGCGTCAGCGAGCCAACGTACGGACCTCCGATGACGTAGTTGTAGAAGTAGTCCAGGAAAAAGTACCACAGCAGACTACCCCAGATCATAATGTGGTTGAACACGGTCCAGTAGGAAGTGTCCAAGGCGATCTGTGAATTAGAAAGAATGCGTTAGAACAGATCGGTGATCGTCGGGGAAGCCAATCTCTTACTTGGGCAGTATTATCCAGAATCAGGATGGTGGCAACCACCGATCCCAACAGCATATGGTCGTTAAGTACGTAGCCGTCTGGGGAGATTCCGTCCTTGTAGGTACCTGAAAATAAACCTTTGATCACAACGACGATTCAATCACACACACACAAAGTGATCTTACCGTAAGGTATCAGGAACAAGATCAACGAGCTGAAGATCCCATGCAGTACGCTCCGGATGAACTCGGTCGTGTTGAATAAGGCATTGGTGATTCCGGGGGTGTAGAGCTTCGGATAATCGACGCTATTCTTGTCCGAAACGTCCTGTTCAAAAATACCTAACGCTAGCACTGGTAACGACGTATAAAACAGATTGTACACGGATATAAACATCGGATCGAACACCGTCTGCGGGTGGAAAGAATAAAGTTCTCGTTTAGTTTCTGGCCTCGACCGATCGATCGATTCACACAACTTACTTGAGCACTGAAGCCGCAGAAAAATGCATACCAAAAATGGCACAACGTGAATGCAAAGTTTTTGTAGAAAAAATAGCGCAGAAATTTACACATCCGATAGTAGGACCATCGTCCATGTACCAGTAGCAGTCTTTCGAGGAATTTGAACTGAGCTATCGAGTAATCGCTAGCCAGGACGGCTTGCATGCCCTCCTGTCCCGAGATGCCAACGCCGATGTGGGCAGCTGCAATCAATCTCCCGTTAGCATAAAAATCACATTTTCCAAAGCCCAATCGCAACCTCACCTTTAATCATAGAAACGTCGTTGGCGCCATCGCCGATGGCCAGAGTTACGGCGTTTTTCGCCCGCTTGATCAGCTCCACCACCATGGCCTTCTGCAGCGGAGTCACCCGGCAGCAGATGACCGCCCGACAGTGCGAAGCAATCTCTAGGAACTTGGACTCCATGTCCGGTTGCAGGCAGTGCACCAGCGAGTGACCGTTGATGACCAGCGCCACGCCGGAACCTTCGTCCAGATCGGACATCGAGGTGTCCGTTTTGCCCAGCCCATCGGTGTAGTTGCTACAGTTTACACTAAAATGATTGAAATCGTATTTAGTTTGGAGGGTTTTATGATGGCAACAAAGTATGTTTGAACAAATTTGGACAAATTTCGAACGTAACATCAACGGCTGGATTCTACTCCAAAAAATAGATTCTTCAATTAGTACAACTTACGGGTATGTATATGAGGAAGGGATTGGCGATACCAACTGTATTTACTTTGTTCGTTTCGGAGCTAGCTTTCGGACTACACAGCTGGATTCGGTCAAGTCTAAGCCAAAGGTAATCGTTAAGTAGCTGAAATTTTCTGAAAACGGTCCTACTAAAGAATACTGCTCGTGGAAACATAAAATAAACAATTCCATGAATAAACTAAATAGGTACTAGAATGTAGGAACAACATAACTATGGTTTCTTGTAGGAAGCTTTTATTCTGATTCTACGAACAACTAAGAGAAATGGAAAATTTGGATGAAATGGACAATGCAGCTTTGACTCAATAAGCATACAATTTACATAATCCGTTGCCCGCACATTACAAATCAAGCTAAGTTCATTGTCGGAAATTCTCAGTGCGAAGAACTCCATGAATACATATGCTTTAATTTCTCAGTATTCGAACGAATTCTTCATATTAAAAAAAAAAAAACAAAAAAATAAAATCCGCTTCGTTCCAAACCGGGAATAAGGGCGTCTGCGATTTCGAACATTGCCTGGATTTTGCACTGACTCCAAGATACAGGCAAATTGATAAAATCGAGATCAATATTGATTATTCAAAGAATTAGTAGAGCCTTGTAGAGAAGTAATGAACAAGTTTAGTTTTGAGTAATGGTTGGTTAAAACAACCTCCGATGGAGTTCATTTGATAGGTTTGAATAGTGCAGTTTTAGATTGTCATAGTGCAATATTCAGTGAGGCCATAAAACAGTAGAATATTACCGGTTTCTAATTCAATCGATGACCCAATTTGAGTGATCTTCAATTAAAAAGTGATCTTCAGCAACGTAGAAGTTGTGAAAATTTCCCACAAGTACAGATAGTAAATTTGTCTGTCGTTGAATTTATGTTTAAAAGGCAGGTTGAAGTGAAATAAAAGTTCATTTTACCCTTCTCACAGAGAACGGTATACATATCGCTTGAAAAACTAACTTTCGATCAGATCCGAATTCGTCTTGATTGCTGCCTTCGAGCTTATCGTTCCATTCGGACAATTACAGTCAGGAATCCTTATTGCGGGGGTAACAGGGGCGTGAATAAGTAACCGCGAATATGGATACCCACAGCTTATGGGATTTTCTTCTTTCCTTTATTTAACGTCGGTCTCTGTTCCGCAATCTAGTGCCAATCACCAACGGACATCGATTGCCATCCATTGACGGCAATCGAATGTGCAGGAAGGCAGCTTCCACACCTGCGTAGGATATCGCACCCATTCAACACACATGGGCCGGGACCAACGGCTTTACTTCCCTTCCGTGACCAGAGATTTTTATGCCTCAGAAAAATCCCACCGATCTCAGCTGGGATTGATCCCAGACCCATCGGGGTGTTAGAAAGCAGTCACGGTTACCACTACACCACCGGCGCCGGCTCTTATGGGATTTTCATTAATAGGGGCTGTGGTGAATTATCTCATTTGTTTCAATATATAGAGCTATACTGTCTTTGTCAAAGTTGTTGTACTGGGATAGACCAACAAGCCTGTGTTATTGAATTCAGGTTTAATTGGGAACTACTCCGCTAGAGGCGCTTCACTTTTATGTTACTTATGACAGGCACTATAATACATGGATCATTCCAACAAAGAATATTTCGTGATCCTGGCCATATAGAAAGTTACTGTCTTCAGCAAAGTTGTTCAAGTGACCAAGTCTTTTCGGATGGTGGCCTTTATTAGTTTAGAACTCTTTCACTACGTAGCGTTAATGTGCATATGAGCTTGCTATATATATTATATAGGGGAAATGACGGCTTCGGCATGACAGACTATTTTCGGCAACCCAAATTGAAACACTATTTTCACTGGATTTTCTTACGAAAACACTTCGCTGAATGCATGCAAACAATTCTTTATGCTTTCAGCTTCAATTTGACTATATTTTTACCACTGAGAAAAAGCAATCTAGCAGGGTTTTCTTGAAATGAAACACACGCACTACAAATTGTAGCTGATTTCGAGTTGCCGATAATAGAACAGCAGATTTACATGCAGTTCAAATGGATCGGTTGCCGAAGAAAAACTGGTTGCCGACAATACTCGCTCTCACTAGAGAAGATTGGAGCTTTGTAAAAGCGTTTCAAAACAGTTTTTGACAATTCTTTCGACTGAAATTGTTAGAGCAGCTGGCAGCAAAAGATTGTAAACAAACCAATACTGCACATTTGTGCGTTCCATAGAGAAAAAGACTATAGAAAGAGGGTCGCTGCTTAGGTTGCCGAGAATACGTAAATTCCCCTAGTTTGCTATATAAGCTGTATCTCAAAATCCTGGCCATATAGAAAGTTACTGTCTTCAGCAAAGTTGTTCAGGTAATCATGTCCTTTTGTATGGTGTTCATATTAGTTCAGAACTATCTCAATATGCAGCGCTAGTGTGCATGTGAAATTTCTATATAAACTGTATCTCGAGAACCTGGCCATATGGAACGTTGCTGTCTTCAGCAAAGTTGTTCGGGTGACCAAGTCCTTTCGGATGGTGGTCATATTATTTAATAACTCTCTCATTTCGGAAAGAGACGACGTGTAGAGTTGGAAAATCGATGCCAGACGCCATTTTGAAACACACTAGCGCTCCGTAGTTTATTTGTTTATTTAATAATTCAACTGACAATTAATGTCTTAATGAATAAAACTTAATCTAAATAGTTATGGTCAACGAAACGAAAACGGTCAAGTAACCGGTGACAAAACACATTTGCTGATACGTTAAAGTCAAATTCGCAATAAAAGTAGTTAAATTGTCGGCTGATTGCACGAATTGGCTCATTCTGCGTATAATTTCTGCCTCGTGGCTCCAAAAACAGAAATTCGCGTTGACGAAGAGGTCTCTCAGGAGCATACATATTTAGCTGGGCCAGAAACGTTGGACAGTCGATGTCACCCGTGAGAAGCTTTCCAGCAAACATAGCTTGAGCGACCGTCCGTCGCACCACTAGCGGTTCGATGCCCAGAAGACGGCAACGCTCCTCGTACGGTGGCAGGTTCGATGAGTCACGTCAGTTCAAGAAACGAAGAGCATATCTCACAAACTTTCGTTGAACAGATTCGATTCTAGCGATCCAAGTGGCTTGGAAAGGGCACCATACAACTGCCCTTGATTCTAATATAGACCGCACAAGTGAGCAGTAAAGTGATCTGAGGCATAACGGGTCCCGGAACTCATCGGCAATTTTGAAAATAAAACCCAGTTGGCGATTGGCTCGGGAAATGATGTCGTTATAATGGATTTTGAAGGTGAGCCCGCAGTCCAGAGTAACACCGAGATCCTTTATTTGTTCTACACGGGCAATGCAACGTCCAAAGAGCACATAGTCAAACATAATTGGTTCGTTTTTACGGTGATAGGAGATGACGTTGCATTTTTCGATGCTCAGGCCCATCAAATTTCTCGTGCACCAGTCAGCGAAAATACATAGCATATGCTGGAGATCCCAACAGTCCGAGAGGCTTTTGATAATTTTGTAGATTTTGGCGTCATCTGCGTAGTAAAGACGACATCGAGATGGTAACAACAGAGCGATGTCGTTTAAAAAGATCGAAAACAGCAGAGGTCCCAGGTTGCTGCCTTGTGGGACTCCCGAGTTGTTTGAGAAAACATTTGAATCCGTCGCGCCAATCTTGACTCGTACAGAGCGATTCACTAAGTACGATCTGAACCATTTCACAGCCGTAGACGAGACACCTAGTATCTCCAACTTAGCAAGCAGGATTTCATGATCCACCCTGTCAAAAGCGGCTTTTAAGTCCATGTATGCAGCATCAACTTGCCATCCAGCATCCAAGCTTCGCAGACAGTCAGAGGTAAACTGCACCAGGTTCGTGGAAACCGATCGCTTGGGGTAAAAACCATGTTGGTCCGTATCGATATAATTTTTACAGTACATAAACAGAGCATCATTTACAATAATCTCGAAAAGTTTAGAGCAGGTGCACATGGAGGAAATCCCACGATAATTAGCGACATTCCGTTTGTCTCCTTTTTTGTGAATTGGAAACAGATAGGAAAGCTTCCAGCGGGAGGGGAATTCACTTTGCTGTGCCGAGAAATTAGAAAAGTCGCGCAAGTGGAAGGCAGAGGTTGACTGCACATCGTTTTAAAACTGACGAGGGAATTCCGTCAGGACCAGCGGCGAATGAGTTCTTCATTTTGCGTGTTGCGGCTATCACCATGTCTTCAGTGATGTGAGGTATGTCAAAACTAAAAAAATCACGTGGCATCCCGGAGGTTGCGACCAACACCTGTGTCGGTGAAGCGGAAAAATCGTGGAAGACTTGTTTGAATTGACGAGCAAACAAGCTGCATTTTTCACTTTCGCTGCAGGCCGTATCATCTCCGAGGAACATGGAACAAGGCAGCCCGGATTCTTTCCGTTTTGAATTTACAAACTTTCGGGTTCGACCGAAGGTTCGCTTCCGTGCATCTAACGTGCCGATTATAGAGGAAGTGGTTGTAGTTTCGATAGCGACGACTTGCGAAATTAAACTGTTGCTTGTAGAACGGGGAGCGAGAGCTGCAGTACCTTCGGAGTGCGGCGGAGCGCTGACGTTTTAGTTTACGTAGGCGTGGGTTCGACCATGGGGGCTTCTGCGGGGGACGTCTGAGTTCTTAAATAATATCACCACCATTCGGAAGGACTTGGTCACTCGAACAACTTTGCTGAAGACAGCAACGTTCTATATGGCCAGGTTCTCGAGATACAGTTTATATAGGAAGTTCACATGCACACTAGCGCTGCGTATTGAGATAGTTCTGAACTAATATGAACACTATACAAAAAGACACAATTACCTGATCGACTTTGCTGAAGACAGTAACCTTCTATATGGCCAGGATTTTGAGATACAGCTTATATAGCAAGCTCATATGCACACTAGCGCTGCGTAGTGAAAAAGCTCTGAACTAATAAAGGCCACCATCCGAAAAGACTTGGTCACTTGAACAACTTTGCTCAAGACAGTAACTTTCTATATGGCCAGGATCACGAAATATTCTATGTTGGACCTATGATCCATATATTATAGTGCCCGTCATAAGTAACATAAAAGTGAAGCGCCTCTAGCGGCGTAGTTCCCAATTAAACCTGAATCCAATGACACAGACTTGTTGGTCTATTCCAGTACAACAACTTTGTCGAAGACAGTATAGCTCTATATATTGAAACAAATGAGATAATTCACCACAGCCCCTATTAGTGAAAATCCCATAAGCTGTGGGTATCCTTATTCGCGGATAGCCCGGCAATAAGGAATCCGGCAATAAGGATTCCTGACTGTATCCTGAATTCGTGTAAATAGCTGAGTTCAAGTTTGTTGTTCGATTCGGGCAGTGTCGCAAATTCTAAAAAAATGTCTCGAATTCGTGTACATTGCTGAATTCAAGCTTGTTGTTCAATTTGGGCACCATCTCGAATTCGGGCAATTCTTCCCAATTCGTGTAAATTGTGTCAATTTTTGAATTAAAATTTGTTGTTCAATCCTGGCATTGTGCTAAATTCGTCTAAATTGCTGAGTTCAGGCTTAAACTTCAACTCGGGCAATAGTCCCGAATTCGTGTACATTGCTGAATTCAAGCTTGTTGTTCAATTGGGTTAGGCCCCGAATTCGAGCAAATTTTTGTTTTAAAGCTTGTTCAATTAAAGCAGTTTTTTGAATTCGTGTAAATTGCTGACTTCAAGCTTGTGAAATTCGGAAAATTGACCCGACATGGTGTAAATTTCTGAATTCAAATTTGCTGTTCAGTTCTGGCATTGTTCCGAATTTGGTCCTAGTTTGGTTTAATGAAACCTTTGACCGGTGTCTTGAATTTCCTAATAATAAATACAGAATTGAAAAGTTCACAAAAGCAAACATTTATTCGAGCTGTTTTGTATCATCAGCCTCGATCAATCTTACGATAAAAAGGATTAGTGAAAATAGGGGAAAAAATCTACTGCAAATTAAGTTGGTTGAAATTGATAATAATAGAACACAAGCAAATGAAACTATGAACCAATGCTACCGATAGCCAAAACCCAAATAGAAAGTGAGAAAATGAAACGAGAAGATCATTAATTTAGGAAACTCGTCCAGCCTAGCGCTGTACTCGCGTGTTAGACCCGCGTTAACCCGAACAAAAGATGAACCTCTGCAGTACCTGTCCGACGCCTCCTCGCTTCCTCCTATACTTGTATATTTATGTCTATTATCCCACCTAAAGGTTACCACCGACACCGACGGCGGTGACGAGTTCTGGATCTCGATCATCGGCCCCGAGCTTCCACTGTTGCCACCGTTGGCCGTCGGACCCGTCGTCAGGCCACTACTTTGGTTAAGGGAGTTCTTCGGCATGGCTGCAAGCAGAAGGAAGTTGCGCTTGTATTCGGGTTTCTTTCATAGTTATACGGAAATACTTACTCGTAGGATGATAGGTATTTACAATTCGTAATGATTCCATGTACTTCCGTAGCTGCTGTTCCACCTCGACCTTCGTTAGACCATCGATGATGAATACGTCCACCATGTCGTCCGTCAGTAGCTGACAGGAGTAACCGATATTGATTGCCGTTTCTGGTTTGGTGAAGTAAAGATCAGATTGGTACTAGAACAAGGGTTCACAATAGGGGAAGGCCTTACCTTGTTTATCCCCCGTCAGCACCCAGATCTTGATACCAGCCATCTGCAGGTTGGCAATCGTCTGCGGTACCCCGTCCTGAAGCTTATCCTCTATGGCGGTCACACCGACCAGTTGCATATCACATTCGATTTCGTCGTAGATTACACCTAACTTATCCTCTCTACCGTCTAGCGATAAGGCAGCTTCCCTTTGTCGCAGCAGCCAGGAGTCGAAGAACTCCTTAGTTAGCCTCCGTTCGGCTAGCACAAGTGTCCGCAGACCTTCACCGGCGAATTTCTGGCAAATGGGAGAACGCACAGTTAGTGCAATTTATCTATTGGTGATGGCAAGCAAAAGTAAATCTCACGTTCAAATGCTCCTGGGTCCTAGCCTTCAGGTCCTGTTGATTACGTCCTAACCTATCATATATCACACTGTCGGCCCCTTTGCAGTACAGTATTATGGTATCATTGCGTTGCAGTATCACCGACATTCGCTTCCTAACATTATTAAAATCTAAAATACTCAACAGTTGGTACTCCTGCGAACGAAAAAAAAAAGATACACTTATGAGAATCCATCAAGTCCTAATCGCCTCTCTCCGGGACCGTACCTCCATCCTTCCCATTACTTCGATTGTTATACTATTAGGTGCTCTGGATCGGAAAACGAATCCGAAATTTCTGGCCGCCGAAACGAGCGCAGCCTCGTCAGGACTTTGTGCTTGATACTCTAACCTAGAATTGGATCCAGCGTTTAAAAAAGGGTCTTAAAATTGAGCCAACGAATCGAGGACCAACCTCCCGTTCTTCTCCTCCGGCATCACCGTGTGGCACAGTGCAAGCAGGCGAAAAAAGTTGTGAGCGTGCTCCTCGTCCGCCCGGACGGCATCCAGCAGACCCTGGTCGTACCACCGGAAGTCCGGCTCGAATTCCGGGTTGAAGGAGAAATCCACCGGTTCGGTGACCTAGATTTTCGGTTTTGTTTTGTTTGCGTTGTCGTATTGTGTGATTGTGATGGGGATGTTGATGTAGGTATGGATGTATGGGTTCGGTTTTTGGTTTGATTGTGGTGACAACACCAAAGTTGAAATTGATCACAGAGAAAGGAATAAGAACGGAGAAAACGAAAAAAACAGAGAGTGCGTTTAAAGTTGATCGGAATCTAGACATTGAAAGCTACATAAATATTGAGAGAAAAAGAGGGACTCGGCCATTAGTTTGGTTAGTAGATGTACTAGATTCTGGGCTCTAAATGAAAGGCGTGATCAAGCACAATCAAAGCTACATTGCAATGGCCTCGTTGCTAATCTACTATGCTAGATAAATGTACTTCTGTCTACCAAGCACGAAAGCTAAGGCAAAATTAAAAGTAAGCACTGCATCGTGAGTGATGAAATTTTGATTTTGTTTCTGACGTTCTTTGGTCAGCTATTTAGTTTTATGCATTCAATGTTGAATGGCAGCACAGAAAGGCTGCTGCTTTGGCACTATTCAATTAACACGTTATTATATCATCTAGCTAAATATACAGGGATTGACATAGGTTCATTTAACGATTAAACTATGCCCTTTGCATCCAAAAGGAGATGGTTGAATGGAGATTAGACTGCTCCAGACTTGACTTGTAAAATCAGCCACTCGATATGAGTAATGGGTTTGAGTTTTCATGTGATTTGAAGTGTTGCATGTTGGGTTTTGGTTCAAATCAGAAACTGGTCAGTGGCTACTTCCCCCTGAGTACTCGGAACATATTTGGATGTGACGGAAATGGTCCTCGGTACGCTATGCGACTAACATTAAACTTCACTCTTAGTGCTCCTGAAATTTGTTCTCTGTTCGGATTATAATCACTGCGACCAATACATTGATCTTTTGTGATATGTCCGTGTCCTTTGTTTAGTGAATGTCATAGTACCTCATTACTATGGAATAGTAATGACACAGACAAACAGACATAACACTCGCAAGTTGTTCGTCGAACAAGCATTTAACGGTCAATTTAAAAGTATCGTAGTTGGTAGTACCGCCACCTGTGGCACGCATAGTCTATTCCCTTGCGTTTGACGTTTACACACTACCGCCATCTGTTCAGCGTACTGCCCACCACAGCAGTGTACTCAACAGATAACGGTAATGTTTTAGCGACGATGAATTGCAGTGAGAAATATTCAATGTGTTATGTCTGTTTGTCTGTGGTAATGAGGTATTCATTTTTTTTTTGTGATGTTCCGTATCATTTGAAGAGTTATGGGACCTCTCTAAATATGCGTCCTTACATCAATCAAAATGGGTTTTACATGAATCCTCATTCAATAGTGATGTTCGGCATCTTTTGACAAATTCTGGGATCTCTTCAAATATGCAACTTCTCAGCAATCAAAATAGGTCTTCTTAGTGAGAAAAACAAGCGATGATACTAATATTTTATCATGCATCGGAACCCTGTTCCGAACCTTTTCTTGCATCCAATCTCAAAACAGTCAACAAGAAGAGCATCGGGCCAGAGTTCGATGTGGTGGATCTTACATCCCGTAACGTACCAAGAAAAGGTGATCTACCCACGCTACGGGGCAAGTTTGAAGTTAGAAACTGGTCACTTCACCGAGTGTACCCGGAACATGTCCGGGTGTGGTCAATTGAGTTCTGGGCATTCAACATGACCACCACTGATTTGTATTTCGTATTCTCATATGCTTTGAGGGTGTCACATGATATGTTTCAGGTCACTTCTAGCATTAAGAATCGTATTCAGTGGAACATGTTCATAGCCATATCCCCGGAACCAGTTGACCGATTCCAAAAATATCGTTCCAAGGGGCTATGATACTTTTCGTTTGAAGGTTGTTGCATATAATTTGGTTCAGTGGTTGACGAGAAATACATTTTACAAATTGTAACACATACATACATATTACAATCTTAGAAATAACTACTTTACACTAGACGTAAGAAATATTGGACGTAAATCATGGAACGTAAACAAACATTTCACGTGAAATCAAGTGTTCTCAAACCGAAACATAAGCTAGTCGACGAAGAGAACGTTTGATTGAATTGATTTTCTCGTTTCTTTCAACTGATTCTTATGTCAAAAGGGTCGCTTACATGTGTCGGTCTCAAAGATCAGAAATTTAAATGACTTTTTCGTAGTATGTAGGATGGGTCACCGTTTGAAAAAGCGCAAACTTGACGTCATCAAGCGAGGGTTTGGGGTCCCTCTAGGATCTAGCTTTCCGCATTGCGTTTGAAATTTTGAACCTTGCAACTTTGCCCAAGGAAGTACGAAAATTTATGGTTTTAATTGAATGCCGAAGCTCACTTTTTCTGCCAACACTGCCGGTGTAAAAATGAAATTTTTTTCCGAACTGAAATAATTTCGGAGTGGGGGTATAGTAAGCCTCTCTCCCTTCTCTCACTACGCATCTTAGATAGAGCAATTGTTTTTTGAATAATTCATCTAAACATACCAAATCGATACGGTAAGAAGCTTCGAAGTTGTTTCAGTTTGAAACTTCACTTCCATTGATATGAGTGAGGAGGGTGGGGGTGTAGTAAAACACCAAACGTGGTGCCCGTGCAAGATGGGAAATGACAGGTGGGAAGGAACTCACGGTCTCCCAGTGTTGGTGAGTTCTTTGCCGTTAATGTTCACGAAAAGTTCACTATTTTGCCATACAGAAATTCAAAACAAAAATTTTTATCTGCGGGTTTGGACTGTTTTTGACCTGTTTCGTACGACCGGAAGGTGTATGCTGGTCACAAATGCCGTGGCAAACTGATTTCCTACTCAATTAATCAATCTTTGATGTGAATTTCGCTAATAAACACGAGGAGCATTTCTTATAGCAAACTTGCCATAACAAAATGGGCATGGTTCATTTAAGTAAACAAACTAACACTTTTTCCGACTGTGGCACCTCTCTTACTCGCCTGGGTGCCCGTGCATAATTGTTTGCACCGGTGTAAGGATGCTTCGGCAAATATCAAAGCCGAGTGTTTCTAACTTCGGCAAACACCGCAGCCGAGTAGATTTCGGTACTGCTTTTTAACCAAAAGAAACCGAATTGAATTTCATAGATTTACCTTATGAACATAATGTTGACAAAAATATTGAAGAGGGATGGACTAGGATCGAACCATGGACATTGGAATTATGAGCCAATGCTCTTTGACCACTCTATCAGCTCCTGCTAAATGGAGGATGCTAAAGGCTACCTTGAGTAAGACGATAATCTTTGATAAGTCGACCAAAGAAAATTCCAACGAGCAGCAAGCGTGTTTTCCGATACAAAAGAATCGATCTTTTCTTCATAATGCTGAATTACCGTAATGCACCGAATACTGGACGGTCGGTTAACCGGGACATTTAAATTATAATTAAATATCACGTCTATTTTGCAAGATCACTAATATGTGTGATCCAGATCGATCCTTAAACACGTTTACGTGATTTTTAGCATAGTAGGCAGTGATAACAAACTTTTAAAAGTGTTCGGATTTATGGGCTAGGTATCCGTATATCAAGTCATTACGGAATATTATGAAAATCAAAAGTAACATGTTTAAATTTCAAAGAATTGATTTATAAGTCTTCAAATGATATTTTGTATTAGTAGGTTACAATACGAGAGTATAAGGAATGTGTTGCTCACATAAACCTGCCAATTTTGCTTTCAAAGAGTAACAATCAGCGATGCTCGAATCGCTGTTCGCGAACAATCAAGAATGAGTGAAATTGTCAGGTTTTATGAGTGAAACACAAACTTTACAAACTCTTCTTGCCACTAACAAATACAAAATATGATCATAATCATAATTTCTTATATGATTCCATTATCCCATAAAAACATCTTTTAATGCAAAATTAATGAAAGTAACCCTGTGTCAACCTTACTGTCATAATGCGTAATAATGAAAGAGGAAACATATGAAATTTATATTCTCAACCCTATTTTGTATAAAACATTAGGAGCGACTATGTTAATGCTAAATTTGAGGGTATTTTCAAAAAATTTAGGCTTGGGGTGAATGGAAATCAGTTTTTCGATGCGCTCAAATTACTTTCGTTTGCTTCTTTGAAGATCGAAAAGATCGAACGGAAAGATCGATTTTTACGATTTTTTTATTAAATAAAGATCGATCCAAGATCGCCCAATCCTAGTTTGCCGAAGCATCCATACACCGCGGTGCAAACAATTATGCACGGGTACCGGTACCGGTGCCTTGTTCGCAACGTTTGGTGTTTTCTATCGAGCAGTGCACAGTGGTCCAGAATGCAGATTTAGGTGGAATGATATGTTTTGAGCCTGAAATTGAAACTTTAGACTAAAAGTCTCTTCTATAAAGTTGTTCCTTATAGTTACGCCCTCATTTTTATGATAATGAATGCTAGGGTGGTTCCTATTATCATTAAAATCAAAAATCTAACTTTTTTGTTTGAATAAATTAAGGTATACATTCTTGGGCAAAGTCATAGCTGAGCTAATTTTAAGCAACTTTGTTGAATTTAACTTTTTTGTATCTCTTAAATTGGTCGATTTAGAGCTATTTTCTTGAATTGAGTTAGGGTGGCTCTTAAAAAACAGTTTTTTTGCTCTAGTTTTCTTATTTAAAATTTCACAGCAAAGGTGTCTTCAAATAACTTTTAGATCTTAAAAAGGCACAAATTTTTGCTGCTCAAAGTTTGTCAATATCTTTAGCCGATCAAGAGTTATTGACGTTTTTTATACTAAAAATATGCACTTTTCAAATGTTAATATCTCTGGTTGGGGCAAACAAAAAAACAGTTTTTTACGGCATTTGAAAGGACGTATGTTATTCTCAATAATATGAAAAAAGTGGAGGTATATTATTTTTTAAACTCGTATAAAATCAATTTGAATTTATTCACATTTTTTACTATATTTGGTTATATCTTTTTTATTAGAAGAGATACAGGCAACAAATTCAGCTATAAAACATTTGT